TGGGCTACCAGAACACCTCTCATCATGAATCTGATATGCTTAACAGCTAACTACATCTGTGGAAGGATTACAGTTTACGTTGGTCAGGTTTATAGTAACAAAACCCAAATGTCCTATGATTCCATTAAACTGCTCCTTATCTCAAAAGTTGTGATGCTTATCAGCACCATCTGTTAAGAACTCCTGCTATGTTTCCAAATGACTAGAGAGAAGCCTTCTAGGATTTAATTAGGCTGAAATGTCAGGAGGGCAGGAGTTGAAGACATAGCTCAATGACTTACAACACATCATTCAACCAGGCAGAATTTAAACACAGGTCTGAAATCTGAAGAAAATGTCTTCATCATCTAACTTTTATACCGAATAAATCTATCAGTTTCACAGATGTTAACTTCATTTTCTGTTGCTGCTAAACATACTGCTTCAATGCAATACAGTGCATGTAATCATCCTTTAAATTAGTGATAGGTGAACCTCAAATAAGTCGTGGTTTGAGTTTGGGTCATAGGAAAATGCCAAATGTCTGTCTTCTTTTCTTGAGATTATCCATACTTTCTGAACACAGTAAACCTAGAACTCCTGAATTAGCCAGTGGAATGACCTGTTTCAGCCAGATCAGCCCCCTGCTATTACAGGATTGTCCAAGAGGTCATTTCTAATGCTTTCTCTATTGCTGTTTTAAATGATCCAAGTAGTGGGGTTCCACCACCTCCATCGGGTGACTTCCGCAGTTTAATTCATCTGAATGCAAAAACCTGGGGACCTGCTTTTCTTGCTTTTGCTCAGCAAAAACCCCAATTGGAGCTTTTATATCACTGGGAGCGTTGAGTAAATACGGTAGATTATAACTCTAATCATGGGGGCATCATTTGAGCTCCCTGCCTCGGGTGCCAAAATGTTGTGGGCCAGCCCTGCCAGCAGAGGGATTTGCATGTGGTAGAGCACTCAGACAGGAAGAATTGTGGGAAGTCTGACAGCATGGACATGCACTGCACAAAGCTGTTGGTATGTAAGCCAAAACTAAGGAGACACCAAGTCATGCCTGCCCTTTCCATCCGGGGCCTCATTTTTAGGTAGCATGGAACAGAGTTCTTTTGTCCTGGCTTGACTTTATGCCAGTATGCAGCTTCTTAGGTGAAAGCTGTGTCACTAATATGTGACTTGTGGGTGTGGAGTCTTGGACACCTAAAAAGAAAATGAAGAATGTGCGTATCCTGCTTTATTACTGGATTAGTCAATGTTCTGACAATTAATTCTGAAAAATGAAGCTGTGAAGTGTTCCTGTTGTTAGACTGGTCTTACAGCAGGATGGAGACTGGCTTAAGCCCCTTAAAATGGGCTCCCACTGGAGTAGCCACAGCAGCACCCAAGGAAAAAGTACAGCTTCTTTTCTGGGGTGGGGAGGAGAGAAGATTACGAGAGAAAAAAAAAGAATGACTATGTGGTATTAGCTAAGTAATGCTGTTTCCAGTACCCAAGCCCAATAGCAGTGTTCCCTCTCATTTTTCCAGGCATGTGCAAATGTGCACCCTCAGTAGAAATATGTGCTGCCAGCTGCTGCTGTTTGTATGTGCTCTGCAAATCAGCTGAGCAGCATTTGAATCTCTTCTGGGTGGCTGCCCAAGTGCTCAGCTTAGAGGGAACAATGGCCTGTAGGCCCCAACATTGCACTGTACACTTTAGAAGACTGGAGCAAAATATATGATACGGGTGTCAGCCTTTGCTAGAGGTGTTTAAGTCTCGGCTTGACAAAGCCCTGGCCGGGTTGATTTAGTTGAGATTGGTCCTGCCTAGAGCAGGGGGGCTGGACTAGATGACCTTCTGAGGTCTCTTCCAGCTCTATGGTTCTATGATTCGTTGTCAAACTGAATTGCCCATTACTGCATGAAATGCGGTTGCTTTTGAGGGAGGAAATGTTCATAGGCAAAACTTACGCATGGACTGGGTTACTAGAGAGTTCCTCCAAAATTATGTATCTTTTCAAGTGAGCTGGACCCAGGCCCTTTGTCTGACCATTGGAGCAATGACCATTCAAAATCTAATCCTTGCAATTGGCCCTGTATTTACAATGGGCTGAACCAAAACTCCATAATGGAAACACTACTGATCTTCAGGGATCTGGCTGCAGCTCCAATTTTGAGGCTTCATCCCATGTCTCCGTTGGGCATAAGACAGAGTTGCATCTCTGAGGTATCATAGCTTGGCCACAGCTGTTTCAGAATTTAGTCTCTTGAAAACAGATATTTTAGAATGCAAAATGTGTGCCAAGGCAGATGTGACCTCTGTTGTGTATAGCCAAGTATGCTGCATTCAGAAAATAACAAAAAGTCCAGGTGTCTTTCAGGCTGCAATCACTATGGCCTCAGAAAAGAATTACGGAACTGAGTGCCAAATAGTCACACACATTTATAGAAACTTTTCTTGTGCCTGAAACTGAATGTATGTAAAAATAAAGAGAGTCCGATTTCCTGTCCTAAAGCAGATGGCACTCATTCTTGAATTTCTTAGTCATTCATAAAATGGCTAGGTCCCATGGAACAATCTGATTGGCTGGCAAAGAGCTTTGTTATTACTGGTCAAAAGTCCTTAGCCAAAATATTTAAATTACCACTTTAAAGGGCACTGATACATTTAATGGTCTATCACTATTAGTTGTACGTGCCTCTCTGAACTTATTGCATGCAGATTTGCAGTTCTAGGACTGGACTCATCTCAGGACCCATATGTAAAGCCGTGGTAGAGATCATCCTTGAATCAAGGAATTGCCAAGGAAAGAACGACTAAATAGATGTGCACCTCAGGTGCTGGAAGCATATGACTGACATGGGCTACATAAATTTTGGACCAGTTTGGGGGATGAACCCAGGTTGCAACATTTAGGTCTTGACTTCAGAACCTCTAATGCTCTTTAGATCTGGAGCTATTGCTGTAATGAAGGTATGCCCTCATTTCCCCTCAGGCATTAGGAGGTGCTTTTCTGTAGGCACTTCTTAATGCACAGAGCTGCACATGACAGCTACAACATTCTGACTGGGTATACAACACACTTACTTTCTTTACCTGTGTAAAAACTGTCATCCAGGAATGTGATGTCATAGTGTTGATAGATGTACATTAATGTCAGCCTATGGACCAGAACATAGAATTTCAGTGATAAACCACCTTGGCTCCATTGACATAGTCTCACGAGGGGATTAGTGATTAGTGTATTCAATTATCATACTCTTCAGTGATATTACTATTAAACATTTACATAACACCAGAAATATGCATGGTGCATGCCTGAGATTCAAAGGACAGGATGATCCCTGGACCAAAGCGTTTGTAATCTACAGTCCAGATTGCAATAGCCTCAGTCAAGATGAATATCTTAAATCACTAGTACCATCCAATTTAAGCAGACTTCTTGTTGTATAAAGTTCTACTCTGTATGCACAGTGGTATCAGGATCAGGTCTTAAATTAAGCAGTGGTAGAACATGAAGTGAACTGATAAAGGAGCGTGAATCTGAGGGACTAGTTTTAAAGCAAATAATGTGTATCTTATATGTCAGGGACTCTCCAGTATTCAGTAGTTGCCATCCCCAAATGCTTTGAGAAAGGTATAAGAACCCATAGTAGGTAGAATTAGGATAATTTGCTCCCCTCAAAGATTCTGCTTAAACCCTGATCATTTACTGTTTTAAGACCCAAAGCATGAGACTTTATAGCCTACACTTTTTTTCAGCATTAACCACTAAAACTCTGGTACTCCTAATATCCCTAAATGTCTAATTGTTCTTTGAATCTTGCAACTGAGCAAGAGAGGCCTAGCAGACGGCACAGAAGAGGTGGCCAGCTGTGGAAAGGAAGGTTAAAAAAAATCTGTGTCTGGATTCAAAGGAAGAGAATGGAAATGCTTGGTGCACAAGAACGGGGACATCAAAAAGCAACACAGAAAAATAGGAAAATGACACCATGAAACAAGATGGGGACTATACATAAAAGGACAAATCCTCTCCCAAGCACAAAACCAGAGTAAAAATTAGACCATCCACACAAGCTCTACTTTGGTTTGTGAATTGGCTCTGTCCTCTCCACACCCAGGGTATGTCTACACTACCCTCCTAGTTCGAACTAGGAGGGTAGTGTAGACATACCCAAAGATTGGTACACTACCCTTGATCTAAAAGATGCCTACTTCCACATTACTATCACACTGCATCACAGATGGTTCCTCTGCTTTATAGTGGGCCAGGACCACTATCAGCTTATGGCCCTCTCTTTTGGCCTTTGTACAGCCCTTCGAGTATTCACAAAGTACATGGCCATTGTGGCCACTGCCCTGAGAAAGCGGGATGTCTAGTGTTCCCCTACCTGGATGACTGGCTTCTCCAAGCTTCTTCTTCGGATCAGCTGCTTGCTCACATCACTCTAGTGCAGGACTTTTTTCAAGAGCTGGGGTTGCTCCTGAACATGGCCAAGTCAACCCTGGTCCCCTCTATGTCCGATTCTTCTGATCCGTGGGCGCACACGTGCAAGAAAATATGAGAACACGACTGTACTCCATTTTCAGGAGAATTGTATGACAAGCTGCAAAATATCTTGCATGAAAATGCAGTTTATAACAAGCAGGATTTCTATGGGTCATTAATTTGTCTGCTTATACTTCTATTTCCCCTCTCAATTGCAAGAGAACACTTTCCCTGATGACTCTAAGTGCTAATATTTTGTTCTCCTGGCAAATCCATTGAACACTGTTGTTTTGCCAGTGATTAGCAGAACCAATGTTTTACTAATATGCCCTTGGACATTTTTTACACAATAGTGGTGCATAGTATAAATGACTAGACACAAAGGGATGTTTACCTGTAGTAAAGTACTTGTAAGCTTACTATTTTTGTTTCCTCATGCTTTGCTCTTCAGCAGTCAAACTAACTAGCAGCATTCAGTGAGTATAGTGACGAACAGCATATAAGAACATGAAGAGGAGAAAAGAGATCTACTCAATGTTCCCTTGTCATTTATATTTTCCAATCCCTTTTAATAAAGTGAGATAATTCAGCCATAAAAAAGTTGTGACCTCTGTAATGCTACAAAACAATGATACAAAATGTAAATAGTGCAATGTTCGGTATATATATAATATATATTTATATTTTAATATATTATATTTATTTCTACATTAACAGGCTATAAATATTGTGTGCCATATTTGCTTTCTATTTGTGAATCCCCCAGCATGACATTATAGTACAAAAACACAAAATACATAAAGAAACACAGTAGAAATAGCTGTACATTTTAAAAATCTTGCCTATATACAGTGTTATCATTACAGCTCTGGGCTACAAAGAACAGTTGAAAGCCTGTTCAGCAAATAATTAAGTTGAAAAAATCACCACTCATAGGAATTTGAGCTGCCATGTAACAAGTTATTGTTACTCAAAAGTTTGTGTCAAGTTCTCCACTGCTGTAAATTGGAGCTGTGTCAGTTTATACCTGCACAGAATTTGGCCTTCTATGTTTGGGAAGAACAAGAGTTTAAAAATAAGTTATGAGTTAATTTAAATAAGAGTTTAAAAACAAGTTGCCTCTGAGCCTTAGGTAACTTCTCCTTTCATATCTGGCTGATATAGGGCCTGATCTATTGCCTATTAAAGTCCATGTGAATTATTGGCATGTACTTTCGATGGTATTGAATCAGGCCCAAATTCACTGACTTCACTGGGAAAGAAATACAGCTCATCAGGTCTTACCACAGCAAATGTGTTCTCTGTCAAAGAGAGCAACTGTCAAACTTGTCTTTGTTTAATCCAATCTATATTTAGTCAGAAACCTTTAGACAGACACAGAGCTTAAATCGGAAGTTTCTTTTTTTTGGGTAGGTGTGAGTAAAAAAATAATTCTCAAACAAGAAACCAGAACAGCGATATTTCCTTCCTGGAGCCCAGCCGAAAGGAGAAACAAAAGGCATGGCTGGAGCTTTATTTCGTACAATTGGACGCACAAAGTGCTTTGCTGAATGTTATACCATTGCCTGTAGTCTTAGTGTCAACATGCATTTCAATTGGGTCTCGAAGAGCCCACAACCCAACTTTGTAATCAGAGAAACAAAATACATCATCTGTACAGTGTGTTGCAACTCAGCATGAGCTACTGATGTCTCTTGACCAAGCATCTTGTGACTCATCGCTGTGTAATTTGCTACATGAAACTCGTCTCCGCCTTGTGAAAGCCATGTCACATTAATGTGTATTTTCTTTATTTTGAGAATGTAGACGTCCTGCGCATAAACCCTGAATACAACCAGTCTAAGAAAAATAGGAATGTTCCGTGTGATTTCCTGTTTGTTCTGTTCTAAACAGGTGGTGAGCTGAGTGGAACACCTGCGTTGTAGGTAAGTGTCTGTGTGCAGCATATTTGAGGTATGTCCTCTCTGGTGCTCAATAGTTCTGTCTCTTCAATGGAATAAACTGGGGTGTCCGTGTCATCAGAATGATATCCTGACTGGTAACCACTTGTCTGGTTTGAGGCTTCGGACATCATGGATTCGTTACTTTTACTGGGTACCAACCCACTGCAAGAGAAATACAAACAGTGTTGAGTTTCCTTTGAAGGCCATCATGAGGCACATCAACTTGTACAAATGGCTCTTCTCCAATACCAGCATGAACTTGGCATAGTGCTGTAGTTAGCAAGGGTGGCTGGTATGTCTACATAAAAACACTTTTAAACACACACTTGATTATAGGAGCAATAATTTCCCCCTTAACTCTCTTGTGACATGTAACATCCTGGGGACATTCTCATGGCAGCGTAGGCTGACTGTGGGATTTAAACTGCGGCCCCTGAGAGGGAAGTGGAATGAAAGCTTGGAAATGTGTCAGTACATTGCAATGTGAGGTTGCATTTGTAATTTCAAATGTGTGCCCTGGGCCCAGAATTCTCCTCAGGTTAGCAGGGCACACGTGGAGCCAATCAGCACAAGTTTCCTGTGTGCTACTGCCTGAAGTTCTAAATAACCATGGCATACAGCACAGTGAGCACTACAGAGTCCTAGGAGCCCACTGACTTGTTACAAGACACAAAGTGAGGCATCCAGTGGGTTATTTTCTACACTTTACATAGCACACTAAGGCCATTCAGAGAAGAGTCTCTGTTTTGAGACAAATCATAGCCTAAGCCTCTTCTAAAATTTCTGGAAACAGATCATCTTATTCCATCATATTTGCTGACTAACCCTTACCTGAAGGGAACTGTCACTTGCTGAGTTCTGTCCCCCAATGTCTTCAGCTCCTCAGATGCAAGAACCATCCCACTGTCTGTCTGATTGTCCTTAAAGAGCCACAGAGATGCCAAAAATGTATCAGATGGAAATACACTCAAAAAAAGGAAAAGTAGCACAAGGAATATGAAGGGACAGAACAAATGAGAGACTTACATCTTGAACAATTTTTACTGCAGGTACTAAGGGCACATCTTCAAATGTTTTCACACTCACAGGTCGGCTTTTTCTTTTACTACCCTGTCGGTAGGGACTGTAAAGAAAAGAATGGGTTTGCTTTTAAGAGCAGTTGTTTGGGTGAAAATGACACAGATGGTATCAGAATCTTCTATCTTTCAACAGTAAAGTAAATTGTCCAAACATACCATGGAAACCTCAACTGAAACAGGGAAACTGACTAGAAACTGGCAAGTTTCTGATCTGTGGGTGCTGAAACCTTGACCCCCAAGCAAATCCTAAGAAACATCTTTTTTAAAACAACCACCTCCTTTTCTGAGTGAAGCTGTAAGTTTTCATTTCCTGGAAACTCCACATAAAAGTCTAACAAACAGAGAAACCTGGATCACAACCATCTTTCTTTGGATTGTACTTTTGAGACTCTTAGCTGGACCTGAGTCAACAACAGCAGATAAAGCAATCTGTCTCCTGTTAAAATGAGGGAGTTGAGATTACATGTTCCACATATCCCCTTTCTTAAAAGCTCTTCTCCAGAATAAGCCCTTCAAGCGGGAGGAATTCAATAACCCAGCGACAAAGAAAACAGCAGTGGCCTACCATGGGGGAAACAGATGTCCAAATCAGCTTAACCTCAGAGTCCCCTCTCTTTACATAAGGGTAATGAAATGTACCTTGTTCCCAAGCTAGCCCACTTAAAACTGAAATGAAAGCTGCAGCAATACCGGCAGAGACCTAAAAAGGGATCACACTTAACTAACCGGGAAAAGAGGCACCAACATGGTTTCTGGAAGAGGAGGAGTCAATGGGACAAAAGGCAGCTCGGTATGCTGCAGTGAGATCCTAATCTGCTCTGTTGTCTGCAAAATGCTTCCAGCTTCAGGAACAGAAAAATAAATTAACCCAAAGTCGAGTTTCATATTCCCTGCTCTGCACCTCTTACAGCAGCACTCCCATTGCAGTTTCTTAACAAAATAAAAAAATGCTGAAGCCCCCTTTGAAATATGTGCTACCAATGTTGGTTTTTTTCCCATTAGTCATTACAGAATAACAGGAAGAGTGGGTTGGGAAAGCCATGTAGGAAGTGCTGCAAATGGAAAATGAGAGCAGTACTTTCAATGATATCAAATGTTTTCATCTTTTAAATATAAATATTATTGACCACCACAATGTTAAAACATGGCATTTAGGTGTGTAGTTATAGTACCTTGATTTCAACTGAAGTCCTTGTAGCTATTATTCTCCATGATCCTATACAAAAGCAGTATAGGGCTTGATCTTGCACCAGCAAAGTCAATGCGAACTTTGTCATTGACTTTGGGGGATGCACATAGTTACCGTTAAAATGGTTAAACTGGGGAAGAGTAGTCTGAAGGGGCTTTCTGATTCTTATAGGAAATCCATCAGTGGATTCTATGTCTGCTCCTGTCTCTTGTACCAAACCCCTCTGAGCCTCTTCAGAGGCAGTAGAAGTACACTGGTACCCATCCCGGGCATCCAGCATCCCAGAGGCTGCAGCAGAAACCACGGAGAGGCCTATGTGAGAACATTCCTTCCTCCCTTCCTCGCATTCTACATGGAGAAGCCCTTTTCTCAGCCCATATGCACAAGCTAGGTGCAGGTTCTGGAACTGTCCTTAAGTGACACTGCACCGTGTTGGATCAGACTGTAAGCTCTAAGCAACAGGAATCATCTATGGTACATTTATACTGTGCCTACCCCAGCAGAGCCCTTATCTGTGACTTGTTGCTACCAGGAAACAAGAAACATATAACAATTGTAATGATCAATAACTGACTTCCATTTGCTATCAGTTCATGGCCCACCTAACAATGTGCTCGTTTTCTGGGTAGAAATATCAGGAGGCTTGTGTAAAGATAGGCTTTTGTTAATTAATCCAATTGCTAGGTCTGTCACTCTTACTATACCAGGGGGTGGTACGAGAACCTGAACAGAACAGCAAAGAATGACTAGACATTTTCTAAGGACTAGCTAACAAATACTGCCCCAGCATTCTGGGCAAGAGACTGAGTTCTTGAATGTGTTGTGGGAAAAATGTAGGTTATCACAGGTGTTTCAGAAGATGAGAAACTAGAGTTTTGCAGATCATCCTATGGAGACCTTATGGATTTATTTTTATCCCTATGGACAAAGTTAAATATGGACTTCAGCTGCTGAAACCTCTTCCTTTCATTTTTCCTCCCTCAACCTGAACACAAGTGCCTAGAGACCACAATGGGATGTTCATCGTATAAAATACCTAATTCCT